ACCGAGAAAAGGGGGGAAAGACAATAGGTTGATTTGGGCGGCCAAAGGCCTCCTCTTTATACGAAAACACTTGAATTTAAGGTTGAAATATCAATGGCCCTGTCCTCAACGGAGAGAATTAATGGCTGGTTTATCAATTAAAACCACTTGTTTGCGACGAAGTTTCCAAATGGGGTTTTAAATTCAACAAATTGTCATTTTTTTCTTAAGAAATCTGTTTTTAACTATTAAATAGATAATGAGTTTAAGACCTGATATTGTCTACATAAGTTAAAAAAAAAAAAAAAAAACAACCTCGTGTTGTCCCTCTCCCTCCCATCCCTCACCTTTATTGACGATAACGAAGGATCAACATTGGCTGAGTTTTGTTTGGAGCAGGGCGAGAAACTCAATGGTGTCGGTTGTGTAACGTACAACCAACTGTAGAGATTGAAATCGCCAGAAAATAATGAAGGAAAACTTAGAAAACCAAAGTCCCTTCACGATGATCGACACAGTTTCACGCTGGATAGGAGACTGGTTTTGATCGCGACGACGAGATGATTTTGATGATGTCAACGATGATGGCAATGGATCGACGATGGTTGACCGACAGTGAAATTTTGTGATTTGGGGGGGGGGTTTGTTGCCCTTCCGATTCCAAGGTTTCGCCTTGACTAATTCGGACCGATCCACGTCGCACACCTAGCTTTTTAGTAGGTGAGCCTCCCAGCAAGGATTTTATGCACATACAATGACTTGAACTTGAGACATTGCTTAAGCAATATCAAGTTGCTTACCACTTGAACCAACTCTTGTTGTTGTTTTATTTTAAATTATAATATTGACTTTTTTTAATATTTTTTAATATTTTATACGAAATGACACTTGTCAAATAATAATCAAATTTAGCAATCTTTATGGTCCAGGTAGGGGTGAGCAAAACTCGTCTCGATTCGAAAAATTGAATTTTTTGAACTTGATTCGACTCAATAAATCTTTTAAACACCAAAATTCAATTTGAGGTATAATTTAGACACCTAAAAATGTATTAAGCCAATACTTTTTTGAAGATACAACTTATCAGATTCATTCCGTATTTGGGCTATATCTTTTGCCGGGTATTTATTAGCTAAAATACCCCAATCCAATGCACAATATTGGGCCGTCTTTCTCTGTAGTTTGCATTTTCAATTTTGTGGAGATGGACCGGCTTCGATCCATAAATACCATCTTTATCGGATCAAAACCTGTTGTTAGTTTACTTTTACAAGTTCGTTAAATCAAAACTTGTTATTAATATGGGTAAAGTATAGTAATGGTCACTGAACATTTCTGAAGTTTGCATTTAGGTCCCCCAACTTTTAAAACTTGCAATACAGTCCCCCAACATTTATTCCGTTTGCAATATGGTCCCCCAACTTAACTCACCGTTAGAAATTAGGGTAAATTATATAAACGGTTATTGAACTTTTCAGACACTTAAATTTAGGTCCCCCAACTTTTAAAACTTGCAAAACAATCCTCAATTTCATTCTAAACCCCAATTTCCAAAGTAATTCATTTTCATTCTAAACCCTAAATTCCAAAATAATTCAATTAAATTCAATTATGTCAGATTTATTATTATTTAATTTCATCTTATTTCATGTGATACGTATTTTTTATATAAATATAATTGTATAATTATTATCTGTTGAAGAAATTTTTTAATTAAAAAAAGTAGTTAGGATATAGAAGAGGTTGAAAATAATTCGAATTTTAAATTTATAAAATGTTACTTTGACGTATAAATAAAAGTGTAAACTACTCGGTTGACAACTTAACTATCTAGCCCTTTTACTTTTGTCATCGATCTTTTAAATTTATCAATCATACAACATAATTATTTAACTGTTTCAACTAAGCCACTAGTCGTTACCAATTGATAAAAATGATGATGTGACAGTTAAAAGGAATTGACATTATTATACATTCAGTCTTTATTATTTATATAATCAATTTGGTCCTAAATTAAATAAAATTTAATAAATTAATCATTTAATTAGGATCTGACATGTGTTAGCACATGATCATGACACGTGTCATTGGTAACACATGTCACCACCTAATTATTTATATATGCTATCAATTTGGTCCTAAATTAAATAAAATTTAATAAATTAATCATTTAACCAGGATCTGACATGTGTTAACACATGATCATGATATGTGTTATTGGTGACACATGTCACCACCTAATTAGAAGAAAATTAAGTTACAAAGAAGTAAAATTTGGGTCTTGGGCAAACTAAAACTTGAGTCACGCAAATGAAAGATACAGGGTGGAGCCACTAAGCTAACACCATCGTTTGTGTTAAGAGATATACAATAATACATATACTAATAGTATGACCAATGCCAGAAAAAAAAAGAATATAATGGAAAATGGAAATAATGAGATTTGAACTTCGGCAAAAAATTTGAAAGCAATAAATGATGGGAAAATATTATATTTGTTTTACAATAAAAAATATTATATTTGATAAATTGTTTGATAGATTTAATATATTTTTTAAATATTAGTTGATACAATATTTTAAAAGAATAAATTTAAGATTTGTATATTTTTAAACTAAATTTAATAATTATATTTTTCATATTTATAATTCATGATTATATATATAATCTTAAGTTGAGTATTTCTAATATAATTAATAATTTTAATTTCTTATTAAAAATAAAATATTCCAAAAATATAAATGATTCATACATTAATATATGAATATATTTTTTATTTATACATCTAAATATAAATATACATTTATATAAATATATTTTTATTCGTATATTGAAATATTTTGATTAAAATATAAACATATTTTAAATACTAGTTTATACAAGAAAAATAAAATATATCAAAAATATAAATGATTCATACATTTAAATATAAATTGAATCATTTATATTGTCTATACATCTATATTTAATAAGAAAATAAAATTTTGGGGGACTGTTTTACAAGTTTTAAAAGTTGGGGACCTAAATTCAAGTGCCTAAAAAGTTTAATGACCGTTTATATAATTTACCCTAATTTTTTTAACAGTGGTTTAAGTTGGGGGACCATATTGCAAACGGAATAAATGTTGAGGGACTGTATTGCAAGTTTTAAAAGTTGTGGGACCTAAATGCAAGCTTCAGAAATATTCAGTGACCATTACTATACTTTACCCTATTAATATTTATATGATGCACATGGATTTCTGGCGTGAGGTGATTAAAATAAGAATAATAAACGACATGACATGTAAAAAAGGTTACAGGTTAGAAGCGTCACCTATAATGTTATAAATTGATACTGAAAAAGTTATCAGTGGGGTAATATAACAGGTTGCACTTAAATATTATACAAGATAAGAAAATGAGTTATAAACAACGAATGTTATGAATACTATTAATATTTTAAGTTACGCCTAAAATGTTATTAGAATTTAAGTAAAAGCTTTGAAAAATATTCAAAATTTTAAACTTTTTTTTGAAAAATGATATTTTAACTTTCGAATTTAAAAATATTGATCTTTTGGAAAATTACCAATACTTTTGAATTAAAAAAAATGAAAAATGATATTTTAACTTTCGAAGTTAAAAGTATCGATACTTTTGGAAAAATATTGATACTTTGCAGCCTTCTCATTTTCCGTGTTTTTCTTTAAATTCGAAAGTATCGATACTTTTGGAATTGTATCGATACTTTCGAATTAAAAAATATATATAAAATGATATTTTAACTTTCAATTTAAAAGTATCAATCCTTTTGTAAAATTATCGATACTTTGCAGTCTTTTCATTTTTCACGTTTTTTTTTAATTTGAAAGTATCAATACTTTTAGAAAAGTATTCATACTTTCAAATTTTTTAGTCGAAAGTATCAATACTTTTGGAAAATTATTCATACTTTCAAAAATTTTATAATAGAAAATTAACATTCTAGATCTTAACTTGCTTTCTTTGTTAACCATAACATTATTATGTGCAACTCATTTTATTAATAAAAATATTAATATTTCAGATTGCAACCTATTTATTAGTGAATCATGACATCCTTAGGTGCAACCCATTTTATTTATAAAAGTATTAACATTCCAGATCGCAACATATTTATTAGTGAAATATGATATTCTTGGACGCAACCCATTTTATTAATAAAGATATTAACATTCAATATCGCAACCTGTTTTTTAGTGAATCATGACATTTTTTAGGCGCAACCGTATTTCTTATATATTCATAACATTTTCAATTTTCAATTTGTTTTCTTATCGCGGGAAAATTCAGTTCTCCATCAACTTAAATTTTGGTAATATTTTAGACACAACATAAAATGTTAATAATATTCATAACATTTATTATTTGTAACTTATTTTTTTACCTTTATAACATTTTAGGTGTAATCTATTATGTTACTACATTGATAACTTTTTTAGTTCCGCTTTATAATATTTTGTGTTATGCTTTTAACTTGTATAATAAAATTTTCGATTATTTCATCTAAAGTTATTTTAAGATAGATACAACCCAATATATTACAAATAAATTAATATTTTAGATGTCGTTAAACCTGTTTTATTAAAGATTTGTTCATATTTTCGGTTGCGTTGTTTTTTAGTCTTACATTAATCTCTTGTTCCTCAATTATTCTTTGTACTATTTGAATCAATACTAAAACTTAAAAATATGATATGTTTTAGTATATAATAATTTTTTTCAGTTAAGACATTTCATAAATATTTATTGGGTTAATAAATTCATTTAACTTTAAGCACGAATTGAATGATCTCAGTGATAAAATAATTATTACTATTTTTTTGAAGTCACAAATTTAAATACGAAAAATGTCGAGTGTGTAACCGTTTGATGTCTAATAATTAAAAGTTTTTTTAAATAAATATTATCCTAAATTCATCCTAAATTAATAAAAAAAACTTATAACCTTGCAATTAAAACATTCATATTTGCATAGAAATTGGAAATGGATGAAGCAATTAATACAACCAATGGGATAGCTTTCTCTCAATCTTCTTCTCCTTTATCGTGTCCAAGCTTGGTTTCCATCCCTTGCCCGAATATTGCCGCTTCAAATACTCCGGCAAATCTTCCATGCTCTCCCGTAATAACTCCGTCAAACTACCGGCTTTCTCCGCCCTTTCGCCGGCGTTTCCCTTCTCCGGCAACGGGGATTTTTGTTCCATCTCTCGCATATGATTTGCTGGGCAAATCTTGGCAAACAAAGGAAAGAGCCCGGAAGACGATAAAAGCCGCTTCGAGTTCGATCTCAACACAGAGTTGGCACTCACCAGCACGCGACGAGCATCGTCCGATGACAACGTGGTCGGTTTCCCTCGATTAAACGGCAGCATTACGTAAACCTTTTTCACGTCCAGTTTCTGGTCAGCCGGCAATGGAACCGGCCTCTTGCCGTTAACCGCCGCCTGGAACTCCGCCACCACCTGTTGCGGATGCTCCAGCATCAGCTCCGCCGCCGTCGATGACGAGCTGAACTCCTGGATCGAACCATCCCATAGAATTACTTTCCCGGCACCGGCACTATGAGGTGGACTGCAAATCAAAGCACCGAAGTGATTACCCATAAACAATCGATTTTCAACGTAAAAACGAAAATTAAAGGCAATGGAAAGCAATTTATGCAAGGGAACTTATGAAAGGGTCTTGCTGTAGGAGAAGCTGGTATTTGTTGAACCGCAGCCCATGGTGGACTAGGTAAATATATATATATATATCATAAGAAAATGGTGATATAATATATGGTACAAGATTTGGTCCAACGAATTGTCAATTGTGGGTCTAATGTACCTTTTTCGAAAATTTAATGCTTTAAAATTGAGCGTTACATGATGGAGGAGTTAAACTTAACCTCCATCGATTAAATTGAATTAATAAAGCTTTAATCCAATCAAGATTTCGATTTATTCTATTCTCGACGGTTAATTCAATTTAATCATGGATAATAAGATAATAATTTGGTAGAGAATTAAAAAGATTTAGGATAAAGTACACGAATGGTCCCCCGACTACAGGATACTGCTTTATTAAATCCCTTAACTATTAAAAGTTATAATATAGTCATCTGATTATAGAGTGTTGCTTCTTTGAGTCCCTAGACTATTAAAAGTTACAAAATGGTCACCCAACTATTCATTAGTTCCAAACTCACCCTTTTTATATTAAGAAATTGACGATGTTCTGAGCTGAATGTTAACATGTCGATTGTGATATTATAAAATGTCATCCCAGAATCTCAAATGATTATCATATTCTAGCCATCATGTTAACGTTCAGCTTAGACGACTGTCAAATTTTTAGCAGAAAATGATGAGTTTGAAACATAATGAATAGTCTGTGACGATTTTGTAACTTTTAATAGTTGAAAGACTTAACAAAATAACTTTCTATAATTAGAGGTTCATTTTATAACTTTAGATAGTCGAGAAACTTAATAAAATAATATCATATAGTCGGGATCATTTGTGTACTTTACCCTGAGATTTAAGGCTTGGTGATTTCTCTTGTCAGATGATAATAAAATATAATACCTTGGATAATGATGGACTATTTGGTGCAGACTCAAAGATAAGTATGAGCAAGCAACCGATTAGGAATGGGTTTAAGGGGATGAAAACAACAGCTTAACTCTGTAAACGTTATGTCATGTAACAAATCACTTTGGAAAATGTTATTCGACCAAAGATTACAGGCCACCAAATTGTATGTGGCTTTCGTGTAGGGCACACGTTATGTTTATTTGGTCACTCGATAATATGCATCGATAATTTGATAATATAAACCATAACATATTCATATGTTAACTATAAATTGATCCGGTTAAATAAGGCATTAAATCCTTTAAATAATGTTAAAAGGTTTGAATCTTGACACTATGAATAGAGTAAATTGTGTTAGAGATTACTCCGTAATAAATTTATGTAGATTGTAGTACTCGATCTAATCGATGTTCAACGAGTTAATATTAGTGGTTATAATAGAAACATATCGATATAATTATATTAGCATATAGTTTAACTATTAATCGATTATTTTTCAATTCGTATTTTCCTTTTTTGGTTTAATTAATTTAAATAAAATAATTATAAAATTTTGATTTTGGGAAGGATAATTTATTGGCCTAACTAACTTTTTAGACCTTGAACCTAAGAAAATTAGAATAGTCCTTACACTTTTGTAGTCTTTTTAGTCATTTTTAGGGTAAAAAATATAATTTATTTTTAATTTTGTAATGGTTTAAATTAGTTTTGAGTTCGTTAAATTAGGTGTTTCTCAGAATATGAGATTTCAAAAAATAACAATAATTTTTTTATTACCGACGTTTGGTTCGTGCGGCTTAGTCTAGCTTAAATGTTACGTTTGGATATGGATATTATATTATGTTTAGTGTTTATGGAGTATTAATTAAATATATATTTTTTACTTTTTTATGGTACCTGTAAGACTAAATATTTTTTTTATTAGTATGTTGTAAGTATAAAGTATTATTTGTTTAAAAAAATTAATTATTTAATATTAAACGCTGAAATCTCTATACATGTGATGCTCGATGAATAATATCAATTCGTTAACCACTAAAATCAAATAAGCTTTCTTGAATAAGTCTTCTGATTGAATAAAGATTGATCAAACTAAATAAAATAAATTTGGTTCAATTCATTAATTGCAAGGAAGAATGAAAAGAATGGTGCGATAGGGACACTTCTCAAAGCACTTCAGTAATCGGTTCCAATACAGGAGTCCAGGGCCTGCAGCTACTCGATCGGTAGCCACGAGGAATGGCAACTGGCGCAACACGAACTCCGCTCTCTTCCGCCTCCTGCGAAACCTTGGCACCATTTTTTATAGTTTTCTTTCCACGACAGACCGCTTCTATAATCGCCATATCCGTATCCGTAACCTTGTTATGAACCCTTCCTATGGGAACCAAAACGTAAACCTCACCAGCCAAAAGTTCATCGTCAGCTCGCACGGCAACCACGGATCGAGTTCGTTTTAGGTCTTTCACGGAAGAGATGACGTGACCGGGTTCCTCGAGCATGATATCCGCTGCCTTTACCGGGAGTTTGACTCTCCAAAGGTTTCCTCGAGCATCGATTACTTCAGCTATATTTTTCCTGCTCGAATCGGGAATAAAGTAGCCGGAGGTGATGTTTCCCATGAAGACGTCAAAGAAAGTGGTTTTATATGTTCGAATTTAGGCTAACGGCTATGGATGTCGAGACTTGAAAGAGGGAAGAGCAAAATGGTAGGGGTATATATGGTGGGAGGAGGAGCAAGAGTCAAAGAATGAACTGGTAAAATTATTGGATAAAGGACACGTTAAAAGGGAAGACGAAAGAAGAGAAAAAGTAGACAAAAAGCTAATGAAGGTGTAATAGAAGTTGACGACTTATAGGGTAGACTCGGTCGCAGCTGCTGGTTTGTGAGCTTCCAGTTGCTGCGTGGATGAAACGTATGGTACCTGCGAATTATTTCAGTTTTGACCAAAAAATCCAATTCGATTTATTTAGTTCTAAAAAGGGTTTAATCAGTTATTTGATTTTGGGTATATAAAAACCGAACCTATCGAATCGATGCACCTAGATCTTTTCTGTCTGAATGATGAAACTATATAATACCATAAGATTTGCAGTCACAAGTAGAGTTTACAGTGTAGTTGTATCTGTCCGAATACATTCAATTTAAAAACCCGCTAAGGGGCTAGTTTCTAACAGTTCGATGAATACGGCTTTTCCCTCCCCTGAAATTGGGAGTTATGAGATGGAACTGGGGTTCGCACGTCTGTAACATCTAGCTATTGCATCTTTGTAACCCTTTTCTCTACTTGATATATTGAGACATCCACCTGAAGCCATCGTCGTAACCCATTTTGCGGACAATGCTGCACATGAATACCTCTAGTGGACGGACGTTTGAGTCTGCTAGGTTTTCCTTCCCCTTGCCAGTGGTAAAGTTTGTGAGGCCAAGATGGTATCCAAACTCGTCCTCTGAGGCAGCATATGGTATGTCGATCTTGTTTCCTAGTATAAGAAACGGGACATTGGCAAGGGACTCATCAGAAAGGAGTGCGTCCAGTTCCTTCTTTTGATTCTGCAAACCTTTCTTTATCATATGCATCTACCAGGTACACCACAGCATCAACCTGGACCCAGAAATATACAATTCAAAGTGAACATTAAAGACCAGGCAACCGTATATGGCTTATAACAAGAAAACCGATCGAAATGAGAGAAAGGCATAATTGCATCACCTGCATGCAGTAAAAGCTAAAAAAATGCAATGTGAACCTAGTCTGATCCAAAATTGATAAATCTTATACTGCTAGCAGAATTGATCATTGCTCTGATAGAACCACACCCAAACACTTCTCTCATAAGACCTTAAACTGCTGGCCGGGCAATTCAAGAACACCTTATTAAGTGCCCAGGAGCCCTAGGTGAGAAAAGATTAAGCAGAGAATAAGGAGAAAAACCCACCTCATGCTCTGGTGAACTGAGGAACAGCCAACAGCAAGCTACTAGGTTGCGAGAAGCTCAGCTGCAAATATACTATTGGCTCTTTGCACAATGAAATATTAAGAAGATACACTTTTAGCAAAGACAAAAGGCAACTACTGATGGCAGAGTGGATAACAAGTAATCAGGTTTCCCCTAGTGTATGAGACCCATGTTTCAACCGAGACAATGAAAGAAATAAGTTTTTCTGCTAAACGTATAATTTAAACCTTTTGATAGATGATCATCGAGACCACCACTAGAGAAAATTTATGGCCATTAAATAATTTGGAAATCAGCATATAGAAAATAGGTTAGAGATATTCTTCTTTGGTGTCTCATGCATCACAAGGCAGTAAAATTTCCACTGATTATTTGACTGTACATGAAGATAGCTTGGGTGATAAAAAAACTATCAACAAAAGGTATGAACACAGAAATTTCTGTAATCAAACATTCATAACAAAATCCACAGAAAAATTTTAATAAAAAAGATTTGACCTGTGACTTAAGAAAAAGGCAGAAGGAGAATGTCTGACGCGAAAACAAAATGATACTAATAAAACCAGAAAGAAAATCACATACAAGCTTTGGAAATGTCAAGAATGTCACATATACATTGTCAAACATGGACAAAATATATCAAAATCTACTGATACAAAAAATTATCTGAAAATGTTAGCCCTCTATAAAATTTGAAAACAACCCCCCCCCCCCGGCAGAATCCCTACCAATTGTGATGATAAGAAAGCATCTTCAGTGAATGTTGTATCACTAATGAAACTAATAACATGCAAGCAGAGATGACAAACTGTCGATGCAATGCATATGGCCAACAGTCTATATAAACAGTGGAACTTAAAATGAAGAAAAGGTTAGTGAAAAGTCTTTTCTTTTCAGCTTTTAAGCTACCTTAGCATAGTAGTCTTTCCAGACTCGGCGAGCAATCTGATGACCACCCAAGTCAAAAGCTTTGAACTTAATTTTCCCAATACTAAGCTCTTCAGATGTGGGATACTGAGTTGGCTGATGTTGAACCAATCTCTGCAAAAACCAGTTCAGTAATAATC